ATTATTTCAAATTTTTCAATTAATAAATAATAATAACTGAATTGACTTTTTTAAAAAGATTGTTCATCAACCAAATTTTTTTTTTTTTTTAACTTTGGCTATCTTGCTATGTATTTTATTAGGAGTATAGTTCATACAAATTACATATTCTATACACATGACCTTAGAAATTAGCAGAGTATAGGATTGATTTTCCAGTCACGTGATTTTTTAACATTATATAAAAAAATTCATTTATGTTAGAGTTTGAGTCAGGGGTATGGGTTTGAGAGCTATAGTATAGTAAAATTGCGTGAGAAAATTTTTTTGTTAAGGCCAAAAAGGTGATTTACTAGTCTATATTTTGTGTTAAATGTAAATTTTGCAAAGCGAACATTTGTTTTGATTTTCTTTATATTACACCTGATTCTAATTTTTAATTGGCTAAATGTATGTCAGAAATCACGTGAACGGAAAATTGATTCTATGCTCTGGTGTTGTTCATGACCTCACCCAGTTACTAACTTAGCACCACCACATTTTGTAGAATTTGCACTGACCTCTGTGAAACCGGTGTCTAACTATACTAGGATACATGTCCCACCCATGTACTTACTCAGACTTCAGTAAGATCCCGCCATAGCTTGACCCATGTACTTGGGGTCAGGGCTAACTATTGAACCCCTGTCGTTACCTACTTCTGCCCTTGTATAGGTTTACAACAAATCCTAATACTTACAATCCAACCGTCTTCTTATCTGGATTCTCTACCGGTCGCTCCCTTACTTCCAGCCAGCAACCCAGAAAAGTTGGTCTGCTTAGGCTTTAGATGCCTGAAAGATGCCTTTCTCTTGGTCCATACTTTTGGAGCGTATGCCCTTTTCCTCTGGTGCGACAACCCGGCAGTTTAGCTGGTGTGTCCTCTGCCATTAGAATCTGGTCGCTCAGTTCTCTAATTTCGGGCCCAGTTTGAATTCAGCCCTCATGCGGTACTATTAAAAATCACTACTACTCCTAACTCAGGACTTTCCAAATGGGTTTTTGGTTATTCCGGGTTCTCGGATTTATTACACCAAAGCTTCCATTACTAGATAGTGTGACCGAGATTGCAAATTTTTCTAGATCTAACTGATAATCAACAACCATTAACTATAACGCAAGCCTATTTTCCAAAATTTGTCATCTGTGGAATTTGAACTCTAGATCTGCCACTTGAAGAGGGTAACAACTAGACCACTACACTAAGTCGCCACACCTCGTTTATTAACCAAATTAGCATGAACAATAAACTAATAAAACTAATAAAAAGTATATATATTGTTTTTAAATATTTTGATCAACAAATTATATTAATTTTCTAATTAAATTAATCTAATAATAAAAAATAATAGTAAAAAATAATAATAAGAAATGACAAATAATTTATAAACTTACCAAGATAAAATAACTTAAAGGGTAGCAGACTATACTTACAGACTAATTTAATATAAATATAAAGAAATAACTAATTTTAAATATATCTGCTATTATTTTGTGCTATTGAACTCTTTCCAATAATCACTTTTTTTTCACAAAAATTCAAAATTCTTAAAAAATACAAGTAAAATACTCTTTATATGCCTTAATTTCTTCGCCCACATTATTAACTATAAAAATATCAAGTTTCCACTATTTATTTTTATATCTTAAAAAATTGAACCACACTTTTAATGTTAACATTCTTTTGAATTTACTTATTAGGAATGCGATTGGGTACCTACTTCCTGCTGTTGGATACCATATAATAAGAGTAAATAAGTGGTATCCATGGTGATTTGTTCTATACGTACTATCTAAACATATGGCTCATGTGAAATTTATTAACTTTTTCTGCTTATTTGTTTGAAACATAAACATAAAACCACTATCATCTATCTTGTTATGCTTTTTTAATAAGCAAATCCCTCACTTACTAACTATTTTATTTTGCCACCTTTCCAAAAAACAAATCTCATCATTATTTAGAAAAGCAGATGTCTTCATTGTATTATAAACAATCATATAGATATCGTCTTGTATAATTAATCTGTCTCGTAGTATCTGAACATTTTGCAAATAGTCACCAGAGTTTTCCAACAAATACACCTAAAAATATTAATTTATAAAAATGATAAAATTGTAAATAATACTAAAAATAATAAATAAATAAATAACAAAGTAATAAATAAATAAATAACAAAGTAATAAATAAATAAAGACAAATCAATAAAAAAATAACAATTAAAAGTATAACGAAAATAAAAAAAAAGCATTAAAAAAAAGAATGATAAAATAAAATAAAAATAACAAAAAAAAAATAAATATAAACCAAAAAAATGAAAAAAAAGCAAAAAAAAAAATAAATAAGAAAATATTAATAAATTATTAAGTGCAATAAATAATTATTTCAAATTATATAAATTCTGAATATTACTATTGTTAAAACAATAGCAATATCCAGAATTGTGACAAATGACTTTGTGTGCTCTATAAATATTACATATTATTATTGTTTAACAATAGTAATATATAGAATTTATAAATTCAAGATTATTATTATTACACTATTTTGCAAATAGTGATTAAAAAAAACCTGATCTTGTAATTCAATTGCCCGAAATCGCATAATCTTATTAATGCTGAAAATATCTATTGGATAAATTAGCAAATGTTCTCAAAAAAAGGCAACATATACAAGTTAAACAGTTGACCAGAATGATGGTTATGATACTTATAATAATAATTTAAGGTTACTGTTGATAAATTAACAGGAAGCGTAACAAAAATACAACTTTTACAGCCACATTTCTTCATTCTTTTTGCACCAATTGAGGTTTTTTATTTGCATTTTTTCTGGCAATGCTTTTGTATTCCCCATAATGATGACAATACCACCTTTTGGTCTATTTATATTTTTTTTTTCTCCTACTTTAGGCCAATAATCATGATGATTATAGATGAGACCCACCTTTTCAAGATTTTTAATAGGTTTTTGCTTTTTCTGTTTCTGATACCTCTGGGTCATCGTCTATAATTTCCCATGCTTGGCCAATGCCATTGGTTGTATCTAAAATAGATTTGAGCGTGTTGTCAATCTCACTATCACTAATGTCTATATCAAAGTCCTCTTCAATATCAAAAATATCATTAATATGTGAATTTCTATTATAAATTAAATATGAATAGCAATATATCTTAAAGTGGGTTTGTTTATTTGGAAAATATAAATTTACACTATATAGTGAATTTTTATAGTAATATTCAATAAAGTGAAAATTTTATTTAATCGTTTATGCAAAATTATTATTAAAAAAAATGCGAAAGTGCTAAAACTTAAAGGAGCAAAACATTAATATTAAACAATGAAAAGAATTATTTTAAAACAAAAAAAATAAAAAATTTAATAAATATATAGTTATTGCGAAAATAATATTTACAGTAATATTTGATAAAGCAAAAATTTTATTTAATTGTTCATGCGAAATTATTATTAAAAAAGACCTGAAAGTGCTAAAACTTAAAGGAGCAAAACATTAATATTAAATGATGAAAAGAATTATTTAAAACAAAAAAAAATAAAAAATTTAATAAATATGTAATTATTGCGAAAATAATATTTAAGAATTAATTTATTCTTTAATTGCGGCGCATTAGGTGGCTACAAGCCACCATGATCAGTGAGGTAATTGGCTCCGTCCAATGTAAAATGATAATTGTATTCGTCCAATAGGAAGTGGGGGGAATTAGTAAACCCCTACGGGCATAGGAACCGTGAAATATATCAGATATTCCACGTGCGCCGTGAACACCATGTATTACCACGGCTTCGCCGTGCTAATCCATGATATTCACAACAGCCCGTGGAATATCTATTACATATATAAAGAACCAATAATTTAATTTTTTTTTAAGAAAAATAAATAATTTTAAAACCCAGGCATCCTAAACTAATAAAAAAATTAGAAATCTCACAATAACTAAGTTCTAAGAGCTAATTTAAGTATTTAAACCTAAGAATTAGAAAAAAATTAGAAGCTAGAACCCGAGCAACGCCGGGTCCTACGAGCTAGTAACCCCATATAGCGTCCTCCGCTTCGCTCCGGACAATAAAACCCTGTCATGTGATCACATAAAAGTGTAATAATATTAACATGTATATATATATTATATATATCATCATATATATAACGATAAGAGGATCCTTAATTTTAACCAATTAAAATTCTTGCTCATACAACTAATTAGAGGCAGTTTATGTAGTTAATTGCCAGTTTGTAAACATTATAGTTCATTATGGAAGCCTATGTTAGGGTAAGAGTAGACATTAGCGGCGTTATAATTATTTTAATCCAACGCAAATATTAATTGACGCACAACGTAAATCAGGCGATGGGACAAGATGAGATGTTTCAGGACGGGACTGCCCTAAAAATTCATGTGAAAGATCGGCTTTTAAATACGATTTTCCAAATTAATTAAAACATGCAGAAATGCGAGCTTAATTTTTTTAATTATTCTTATTTAGCAATTTCACATGTTATTTGCTTATTCGATTAATCGGTTTTTTTACAATATTATATATATTATACAAACCGGGTTGAGCCTTCGCTACGGTCACTTTCCAGATATTTATATATCGGTATTGTGAAACTATCCAGGTATTTCCCAATTTAGAATTGACTATAAATAGCTTTTCTCTCATTTATTAAATATTTTTAAAAAAAACTATACATATGAAAGAATAAGAAGAGAGAATTTATACAAAAAGTTTTGTACAAATTTCCAAAGTACAAAAGTACAGAAAATACATGTAAAAATATATAAAAATGAATGTGAATAAATAAATACAAGTCCATTTACTATTGTGTACAAATAAAAATAAATAAATAAGGAATTAAAACATAAGTATAAATTTTGTTGCTATGATGTACAAATAAAGGAAATTAAATACAAAATGATTATTCCTCCAAAAGAAGGAAAATAAATAGAATAAACCTTCAATATCATGCTACAGCAATAATATCAGGTTTAACAAACTCTGATTCAATAAATTTCTGCTTAACAATATCATTACTAGGCCTAACATACTCTTCAATATCAATGGTATCATCAGTGTCATTTGATTCTTCAGATTCAATATACCCTTTAGATTCAATAGAAGCAATAGATATATCATCTAGTGAAATAATGTCCCACTTATTTCTATTCCAATATTGTTCAATATATGAAACAATGTTTGATATTGGGGCAGATTTTGCATGTTCACTTTGAATCTTTTTTCCCAATGATCGAGCATTATCATGAATTTGTTCATCAGTCAATACTTTTGAAAGAGCTTCATAAAGTTTATCGGAAGTGACAGACTGAGACGGGATTCCATTATTTGGAGCAAGACCGTGATAATGTAAAATGGACGCCCACCATGGCTGATCCGCAAAATGAGGAACCTTAAATTTTGAAATAAAATTAGAAACTATTAAATTCTAAAAACAATTATGAAGCAGATAAAAAAAGACTCACAACAACCGAGGGAACACCAGCCCTGGCAACATTATGTGTTGTTCCTGCACCACCATGATGTACTACACAATTAACTCGAGGAAATAACCAAGAATGGGGGACATGACCAACGAGAAATATCCGGCCTGATAAAACTGCTTTGCGTAACTCCGGTATTTTTACACTTTAAAATGACATAATAAAACTTTTAATTTCTTCACTGAAACATTTAGAAATTAAGCGAGGAACTAAATTCGAGATATATACCTGCCAACACCAGAAAACAATGCACGATGTTTTATAGAAAGTTTATCCATTATGTCTAGCCATATACGTACCCTACTTTCAACATCGCTAAAACTATGCATTGACCCGTAACCAAAATAAATAGGTTTATTTCCTTTATATAACCATTCAACCTGTAGTTTAAAGTGAGATTTTTATAAATCATACAAAATAAAATCAAAAAAAAAATTCAATAAATAATAGAAATTACCAAGTCTTTTGGTGGGACAAAGTTTTCTAGTTCATCTTTTATGTTTAAGTACGGATAGTCAATTTGAACTTCTAGAGGGTTATTTCTGAAAAGATAGGGAAAATGGTTGGTTTGAAAACAAAATTACTAGAAAAAATATTAAATAAAAAAAATTTTTAATTTACGGATTTGGTGGGATTTGAATGAGATTCTTGTTTAAAGTGTACAGTACAGGAACTTTATTAATTTCAAAGGCACCACCCGGTAATGATGGAAACCTAAATGGCAAGAGGAATCATATGGTAAATAATAAATAGTGAATTATCAAACGTTAAAAAAAAAAGGCACCCTTACTAACTTGTTAGCACGTTCAAGACCAAGTTCTTTCAGCCTTTTATTATAAATCTGTTATTTAGATTATAAATTTGAAGTTATATTTGGACAAATATGAAAATGCCAATTTATTCTTTATATTATTTATATTCTTACTGGTAATAGACCGATAGAACTACAATATGTAGCTATATTATCCTAAAGAATTTAATAGATTAAATAAATTAATTGGAATTACTGATATGAAATTTTCCAAAGACAAGAACATACAATGGTTTGCCATATTTTTTCACTTAAGCCAAAAGGAAGCCATTGCAATGAATTAAATGGTTGACCATAGACTGCCTAAAATTACAATCATTTTAGTTTACATTTTAAATAAAATTGCATATTGACATTTATGATAATACAAACCCCAGCATAATTCTTTGAGCTTGCATAAGGATAGAAGCAAATAAAGGCAGCAGGTATTTTTCGAGCGAGACACTGAAAAAAATTAAAATTTTTTGTAATGCAAAATATGATATGTAAATTTTGAATTTTTGAAGTCGTATCATTGAGTAAACTAAAGTGTTTTCCAAGAATACAATATAAATTTTACTTACCTCCGGATACATATAAGTTGATCCAGTCCCTAATATTACGAAATCGACATTTACTAGAACCCTTTCTGCATCTCTGAAATTAAAAGAGGTGGTTATTACACGAAATGACAATTTATTCTATTTTCGAAAAACTATCCAAGAATCTTAATAGTGTATTACTTTTAAATAAAATTTTTTTTCAAAAACGACATTTAACAAAGTCTAAAAGCAGAGCTGGCAATGGAACCAATGGAATCCAATGGATACTTATCCATTGAACTCCAATCTTCTCAATGGATAGTCAAATTGCCAACCCTGTTTAAAAAGGAGAATATATAATAATAACGTATTTATCTTAAGATAATAAACGGTAGGTTAAAAGTGCTAGCTACGTAATTTTCATGTCTAACCTACACGCGAATAAAACCAAAATTTGTAAACGTTAATATATTATATTTACTTACTTGTAGGCTTTTTGGATTCCTTGGTTCAAAAAGGTAAACATAGCTGAAGGACCTAAGATAATGGATCCAGAATGTTTTACCATTCGTCTTCCTATCAGGGATAAAGAAATTAATTTTATTATTTTTATAATAAAACATTTATTATTGAATATAATTACCTGCATCAGTGTTTTCCCTTTACACAATTTATTCTTATTAGCGTGAGAAAAATTAACATTTTTTTTTTCTGCTTTTAGAACTTACCATTCATCCTGCATGTCCCACTTTACAAGTATTCAAAAAACATAAATCAGGTTTTTTGGTCTTTAATTTAAACCGGTGAAAAAACTGATAATTAATACTAACACTGATTTCCCTAAACTCGAATCCTCTAGTTTCAATTAACTTTTTAAATCTGAGATTCGCAGCAATTATGACATTATGTCCCCGACGACTAAAGCCGACTCCGAGATTTATGAAAGGAAGGACATCACCCATTGACCCAATGGCTAGAATAACCATGAAATCGAATAAGGTTTAATAGGAACTATAGAATTAATTAATTAAAAGAGCAACTTACCCATGAACAAAATTTTCTTCGCAAATGGAGAAGGCTCAATGATGTCAGACATAATTATTGGATATTCTCAATGAGTTAAAAAGTTGTCAAGGCGAGATCGGAAAATTGGTCATGAATCTTTTTTGACTGTTATTTATATAAAGAAAAAAAAAAACCTCGCAAATTTTTTTAAATTATTTAAATGACTTAAATGCAGTCCGTAGATCTGTTTGCTGACAACTTAAATATAAAATTGTACAATAAGTTGTTATGAGTTATATTTATTTTATGATACGTGAAACCTATGTAAATTCATTTATATTTTGTCAATTGCAACTTTCAGTTTCCAAAAATATATATATATTTTTAAAGTACTTATTCTTTTATAATTATGTGTCGGCCGGATAGATAAATAAATGCAGTAATGCAGTGTAGCGTACGCCATATTTTTTTGATAGTTAATAAGTTACACCAATACATGGGTTGATATATGAGCACACGCCAGGGGTTGGTTTGACAAAATTCATTAAGCACTTTTAGTACATATTAATAAACGTGTAGATCAATGAGAGTTGTCTTTGATATGCCAAATAAATGCTACCTATAATACACAAAGGACCAATAAAATTCTTATTTTGAATGAATGTCTATGACAAGGCTTTTATTTTGGCTGTCATCGGTGATACTTTAGCCCCTATTTCAAATTTTGCTAGCTGGATAAAGGCTCGAACGTCCATGTGCTATCCATGCTTTGTAATCTGCTGTCTTGTCCCCATTTCCCCAAAATTCATTCAACAATAATTATGAATCCTGTATGAACTGCTTATACAGAGCGACCGGTAAGGTGTTAAAATTTAATTATAGGCAACTTTTGCATACTGATAACTCACATAATAGACAGTTATGGCTTTTTTAAATTTGACCATTGTTATTGTATCTGGTATTTTAAGTCTTAAATTTGACCATTGTTATGATATCTGGTATTTTAAGTTTCCATAATTCGTTTTATTACGCAACGAAAAAATAAGCATACGTATCACGAGGATCGATCAATGATGATAGCATTTATCCAAAATAAGGTGTTTACGTAATTAGTATACTGTGTAACATACGTATTTGAGTTGATTATTATCACAAGAAATATTCCAGTATTCAGCAAAAGATATTCTCTTGATAATCGTGGTGAAAATACGCATATATATGCATGATTATCATTATTTGCCACCCTCTCGATTTTCGCCATAACGATATAGATTATGTATGTATAAAATTTTCTCTACGTAACGATAGATTATGACGCACAGGGCTAAGTAATTCTGTAATCAGCCCATTTCTTAGAAAGGGTCTTAATCCTACCAAATTTAGTACTGTATATTATGATTCCGAATTGTCGGTACACATCATTTATAAAACCCCACAATCCGGCTTGCGTCTTACATCCCTGCAGGGTTCACGAGCCAATCCAGATAAAGCTAGCACTCAATAATTATTCAATTTGATATATTGTTCATTATTATCTAAATCTCTGTTCGATAAGGAAAAAAAGTATAATAAAATTAATCCCAAATTCATAATCTCAGTTTGATCTTTTTTCATATGATATGAAATTCCACTGATAAATCTACACATTGTGATAAACCCGTAAAAATCTGTAAATCCATACAAATTAATGGTTTAATTCTTACAAATTCTAAATATGTAATTCGGCTTTTAAACCTTAAATATAAATGATACGGCTGAATAAAGTTCAAGCGATCACCAAGATCTGATTTTCAACTGCCGTCCTTGTATTAGTATATTAATAATGCGTCAAGAAAGCGCCGACCTACCTTATATATATATAATCTGTTTTTTGTTGTACGTCAGATTAAAAAATTTGCATCAGATCAAATTTAAATACTGAGTTTTATTAGGGTTAAATTTAAAACCCATGTCAAAGTAAGGGTAAGTATAGCGGCATTAGAATTATTTTAATATGATGCAGATTTACATTCAATTATATATAAATGTATAAAATGCCCAGGTCTACGCAATGACAGCGGTCAAAATCGATAAAAACATCTGCTCAGTGATGTAGTGGTTGGACTCGTGTTAGCTCGTGATTTCACGAATTAAAGAATATTCGAAATATTTGATATAATTCGATCGAATTTTACTCGAATTATTTGAGTCTTAAAAATTAAATTACTATTTACAAAAGGCAAGTGATTTCATATTCCGATAGGCAAAGGAATGACATTTTCAAATTTTGTTGATGTATGCAACGTTTGCCTAATATATTTTGACTAGCGAATTATGATTCGAATCATGAGTTATTCGAGCAACGATTGACAAGTCTGACCACTACATATACGCATTATTTTATAGATCGTCTAACATATTGTAGATATCTGCGAAATGATTGTCTGTTACTCTATGAAAGAATGCCTTGTCAGTCATTATTCAGATACTGAAATAGTGAAAACATATAAACTTCAAATTACTGAATTTACTTCGAACTAGTGTAAATCATAATTTATATACAGTATATAAATGGCAACTCTATGATCAGTCAATCACACATTTAAGATTGGTGATCATGTAAGATCATAGATAACACTGTTAGTCAGCTAAATCAGTTGATTTTTTTAAAAAATTGACGTAATCGACTTATATAGAGAATTATTTTGTTATTTCTAGTTTTTATTTATACTTTTATACTAATTTTTCGCTCTTATCATACATAGTACACTGACTAAAAGACTAGTGCTCGGCACAATCAAACAAAAATTCGATAATCAAATACTCGTGATTAAGTTGGACGTCAAACGATCGTAGATCAACTAAAACTAAATACATAGCGATAGTATTGGTTGATCTGCGTCCGACTTAATCACAAGTATTTGACTGTCAAATTTTTGTTTAAGATCTGGGTCTAACAAAAATACCCACTAAAAAAACTTACAAAATACTCGTGGGCAGGACACAAATCTTATTGTAAAATGACGGAGATTTCGTTTATAATAATCTACTCCGGCTGCGGTTTATAAGCTCGCATTTAAATTCCGATTTAAAAAAACCATTGACTGAAAAAAGGCATATTACATTACCCGGAAATTTTGTGCCCTGCTCATACATTCTTTATCAGAAATTTACATTTTTTTTTGTTAAAAGAGGTTTAAGAGAAACTAATGTAGTCATGACAAACTGTTAATATAATTTTAAAAAACTTGATTAATTTTTTTTTTAAATAATTCAGTTTGTACAATATATTACCGCTTTACTAAGTCCGATATAGGTATCTTATTTGGCGAAAGGCATATTGTAAAGTCCCACATTTGTAATACAGAATTCAATATGTGGTAGTTAGGGTTCCAAACCGGTTTGAAAATCTCCAACCGTGACCCGTCGGGTGATTATCCGAAACTAAAACCAATTATCCGATTAAAAACGGGTCACCCGATTGTAATCGGGTAACCCTAATCAGATGATCCGGATATCAATAAATCTTAGTGATTTAAATTCCAAAACAATGTACTCGATGAAATAATTTGGAATACACACAATTTTGGTGTAAGTTGAATTACAGTTGGTACTGTCTAAATGCATACCATCGGTGGACACAAAAAAAAATCAATTCTATGCATTTAAACAGTATTATCCAATCAAATACTAGAAAATTTACTGTCTAAATGCATATTACTATTAAATTTTTTTAAAAAATTATGCATTTATACAGTATGCAGTATGCATTTAGACAGTATCAACTGTAGAATCCTTTAACACAAGGACCCCGGATAATTCTAAAAAGGGTAAACCAGACACGTTTTATCAAATTTGATTTAATTTTTATTTAGCCAGAATTTAATGCAAAAAATCAACTGATCGAAAAGATAAAGGAGAGTGGTCAGGGTTACACGCCACGTGCTACAACCCTGCCCGATAACGTGAGTCGGGAACCCTACGTAATGGAGAAGAGACATCAGACCATATCGATTTTTTATGCGAACACAGCTACGTAACAGAAAGACATCAAACCATATCAGTTTCTCATCTGTGTAACAAAAGCCACCGACCTCAATCAATATAAAAGAAGCGAGGAATAAATCAATTCCCAACATTCTTCTCTTTCCCCTTGCAACACAATCAAGTATTATAACCGTCATTTCTCGACCCAACCCTTCCAACCACACACAGGGGAACACTCTCCTGATTCTGCCATTTTCCTATTTAACAGCCGGCCTGCTTCGAGCAGGCGGGAAACCACCGGCTGATTCATTCTACCGTTACGATGATACCTGGGCGCAATCTCACTTGATAATTTTCCCGGGAGCATCAGTTCAAATTACTCAGCTCAAATTACTCAGTTCAAATTACCCACAATGTATTCTGCGGACTTAAAGTCCTTTAATTGAATTTATTTCCGGCACCTTTGGCGTGCCGGCATTCTTCCAATCACATGACCAATCGTACTTATGCTTTTCGAAAAAGTTTGGGCCAAAAAAGTGGACAAAATGTCCGAAAATTTACTATTAACTCAACTCGTACCTCTATTAGTATTACCCGGGGTCCTTGGGCGCATTTAGAATTCTATTACAATCTATGTTTATTCGGAATCAATCTAAGTCAGTGTTGGCAATTTTACCGGCCAAAAAACTGCTAGTTCATATGTTTTTTTTGGCCGAAAAGGCCAACCAAATTTGATCTGGCCGATAAAATTGCCAACACTGTCAGTGGTCCAGTCCCAATCATCGGCTAAAAACAAACTTCCTATTACGCATTCGTTTAATATATTAAACTAAACCGAATAACAATTATTTCTACACTGTATTTAAAAATAAATTTTATTTGGTATAGTTGATTGACTCACGATTCCACCTGTATTGCATAGAAATAGGGATCTTGTAAGTAATCTACATGGTATTATATATTTTGTATTATCTTTAGGTTTAACGTAAATTCTGGATCGGTGTTGTGGTGTATGATTGAGTAAAGCAGTGATGTATATTACAAAAATCGCACAACTATCCGTTTAATTAGAGTTGAGTATTGAAATATGCGATGTGCATATATGTGCACATATATTTCAGTTCACTATTAATTTTCGTGCGATGTCATAGTGTTTATATTTTCGCAATTCGCAAGTGAGAAGCTTTTTTTTTTTTTTTTTTGAAAACTAGTTTAATAAAGCAAAATTGAAAAATTAGGTTTCTAAATAAAGACGATACACTCGAGTTTAAATTTATGTCGAATTTCTTTATAAAGGATTGGATATTTGGATAAAAGGTTTTCCGAGAGTTAATACTTAACATACTGAACATTTTAACAAAAAAACTATGACAACTTGTTTTTAATTTTCTAATCAAAAATATTCAGGGAAATTCGGTGAACATAATCATATACTTTATTTTAAATACTCAGAGTTTAAACATGCTTGGACATGATCATGGATGTCCCAAAAAATCTTTGGGCATCAAAAATATAAAACTTTATATATCTGTATTTAATATATAACTTAAGGGTACTTAAGGATTGCTAATAGTAAAAAATTTTAGAAAAAGTATTTATCCACAAAATTTATCGAAATAAAATAACATTAGATTTGCCATCTAATTATAAAAAAAAGTTCATATTTTTTTTAAAAAAAAAATTGATATTTGGAACTTCAAAATCTATCTAAAAACTGTTATGTTTTTTGTATGTATTATGTTCATATTGTGTTAAGTACTTTACCGAAGAGTACGTAAAAATCATATAACTACACCATAAGGCCATATAAAAATAATTTTTTGGTTCTCATATAAAATTTTAAAAATGACCCGGCAACCCGACTTTTAATTTTATTTTCAAAAAATTTTATATATAAAATTTTTTTATAAAAATTTAAAAAAGTTTCAAAATTTTGTTGGATTTGACCCGGCCGGTTATAAGTAGTGATGAATCAGTCCGTCCCGGTCAGTTTCAGTCCCTGTAGGAAATTTCTGGAAAATCAGGCAAAATTTACCGAGCAAATATTTGCCGATTCGATAAGTTTTGATTCATTACTTATTTCAAAAATAAGTAGAGGTACAAAATATCCTATTTCTGTTTTATAGAAGTTATCCGGAAATAAAACTAGTAACTTTTTTTATATCATCGTAATGGGGTAATTCATAATTAACATATTTCGAAAATAAGTGGGGATACAAAATCTGTTTTGAAGTTTTAAAATCAGAAAAAGAAATAGGAGTTATCCGGAGATAAGATGATTTGTTGTTATCATATAATATTATCGTAATAATTAATAAAGAACTACAAATTATCGTTTAAATTTTTTTTAAAATTCTTAAATATTTATTTTCTAATTATTAATAATTATTAACATATCTCCCAAAAAAACTTTTAAATAAACCACTAAAGAATAGAACCTGATAGTTTTTTAACGAATAGTAGGGAATAGTAGGGAATAGTAGGATATCGATCTAATTCAATTGTTTCCAGATTTCTTTTTCGAGAATATTAGCTATATTTTTGAGTCATTAGAATCTTCTATAATACTTCTAAATACTTTTTATGTTTTTAATATGTAATTGTCGATCAGAAATATAAGACATTTTAAAATATACCAAGTCTCGAAAGAAAATTCTCGATCATAAAAGCTATGCTAAATGAGATTTATGAACTGCTGATTTCGAAATAAATACATCGCTAATTTAATTCGAAATCAGAAACCTGCTCCTTAATTCTGAATCATCCTATTACTGTAATCACACCCGAATCAGAAGTTTATCACTGCGAAACAAAAACTTATCGAATCAGCAAACATTTGCTCGGCAAATTTTGCCTGATTTTCCAGAATTTATGAGAACAGCTGTAATAGTGTTAATTAGTCCGGTCGGTCCGGTCCGTTTTTCGGTCCTGAAATCGGTCTTACAAATAAAAACTTTTCAATGCTTATTTTTATTAATTTATCACAAACAAGACAGTTGGATGATCTGAATTATAGATACTAAAATACGGCCATACTGTAGATGAATTGTTTTTTTTTTTTTTTGGAACTTCGGCAATTTCATTATTAGATGATAAAACATCAACTTTTGTTTCATTAAAAACTAGAACCTTATTAATAGAAGGGCCACTCATACTAATATTGTACATCTCCATATTTTGTGAAATGTTAGAAAACGAAGGTAATAGATTTTTATTATTGTTCATTGTTGGAAAGAATAAAAAAAAAATTACATTATCGTTTATTTTCTTTTTATTAATTCATCATTTTTTTTATCAGCTAGGACCATTGTTTGAACCAGGACCGGGACCGAAAATCAGTCCGATCACAGTCCGGTCTCGGTCCCTACGAAGACCGATCCATCACTAGTTATAAGAACCAATTAACTAATATCTATATTTTCTACAGGGGGATCCCCAGATTTCCGGGTCGTAATGGCCAGAATGCGTCGTGGTTAGGGTCGGGGTTAGGGCTGAGTTAAGGTTAGCGAGAGCTATAGGCTATAGTAAAATTATCAGCTGGGCACTTTTCACTTAATGAACGACTATTGTTTCATTAGTAAAATTCTTAGTGATCTTGGGGCAAAATTGATTAACTTCGGCCCTTCCGACCAGAGTTCCGAAGCTTCCGACCCGGGATTCTGGGGATCTCCCTGTAGGAGTTCTATATCTATCATTCTTCAAGTCTTGATCAAAATTAATTAATTTTTGTATCATCTCGAGAAGATGAATCGAATGGTACTGAAATTGATCGACTCTGATCATTGAATCAAAGTGCCCCATAATAATAATACCCGATCTTCCCTTACGTACTGTACCATTAGGGTTGTTAATGGTTGGCTTCATTTTAATAGTAATACTCTGGAGTACTCTGGAGTATTACTATTAAAATGAGACCAACGGAGTGCTCCATTCACAACCCTACGTACTGTACCATACGTATTAGTGTATATAACAGATAATAGTTAATAATTAGAGGATCGTTCGAACCCTATCGCTATTTTTAACCATATTTAATAATAATAATAATAAATATGAAAGCAGATTGAATCAATTAACATCCCTAATTCTGTAATAACATAAACATACGTAATGAATATTATCATCATTGTTATTAGATTAATATTATATATAATGGGATTATCTTTAATGCAAGAAGCATTTCTAACTTTTTTCTATCCATTTAAATTATATGTACGAAAGAATTTAGAAAAGTTGCATATCACACCAAAAATTTTTGAAAGAATACTTGTGAAAAAGGGTTATTGTTCTATCTGTGAAAGATGCTTTACTTACTCTTAATAATGAAATTCAACATGAGCGATAATATATGCTGCACGAAGCTCTGGATTTTATCCATGAAAAGTAAAAGCAATAAGCAATTTTAGATAAATATAATAAATAACAACACTGAGTAACAATAACATATATATTTAATATTAAGCACAGTATTACCAATCTTTGCTGGCAACAATTTCTCCGACAAAGTTGGCTCAACTTATAGTTAGCGTTAGAGATTGTCGGCGAATGAATTTTACCAGAACCATAACTTGGTATTTATCACGAATTATATAAATATGTATGTCGATGATAAAAAGAAAGTTAATAAAAAAATCTTAAAAAAGTTCAAATATAAAATATTATAAAAGGCAATTCTTTAAGTATTGAGGTTTGGATTTTTTTTCGTGGCGTAGTATTATAAATGAGCACTAAATTTTTCACCGTACAATAGTGAATTTAGCCCCGGTACTCTTGTAGTCTCAGTAATGCATGAAATAATATACAACAACATACAACGTATGTATACAATCAAGAAGATAAAGAAGTGACATCGTACATATTATAAAAATGCCAAAATAATGCACTATCAAATAACCAGTACATTGATCGTGCACGATCTGTAAATTACATACCACTACAATTCTTTGGTTAAAGAATGTACGCTTAATCAAACATTAAATTGTTTATTTTATTGTTTGCAGTTCTCTTTCCCTTTTTACGTTTTTCTTTTTTTTAAAATTCTATAATATATATATTTATTAGAAAAGAAGAAAAATTTAAAAATAACTGTAATACAGGAAGTTTTTACGTTTTTAGAGCTTTGCTTTAAGAGTTTTACTTTTAGAATCTACTCTTGAGTATTAAGTGTGCAAAGTCGTTGTCTGTCGGTTGATATATCAACGACCATTTCGTTATCTTGTTCACTTTATTATAAAGTTGCTTGATATATAATTATAGAGTTTGTTATGATTTTTTAAAGTATAACTCGAACATTGAATTTTCTTTTTTGAAATATATATGCTGTGAAATAGAAACTGTATATCATCAAAATCAAATTCTTTGTTATATTTTTATAAATAATAAATGAATGCATGGATTAAAATGAGCTTTGGCACCACAATTATTCTTACATATACAGTATAACTAATAAACAAGTTACAAAATTGCACAAAGTAACAAAACAGTTCAAATTGACGTTACAAATACTCTGAATTTCTAAGATGAAAAATTCATTATAAGACCCAGAAAAGCTAAGATGATGCTTTTGCAAAAATATCTTTATTAATCATTTTTTTTAGTAATCATGAGACTCGAATAAATCTAGTCCCTATAGAAAATGTTGTATCGCAAAGATTGAAAAATAAGATGAAATTTTATATTGTGATTTTATGTTAATAGCTTCAAACCTTTCAAAATTGTTTTTTTTTTTTCACATATATGTTCAAATAAAGAACATGGAATTTTGTAGCACATCTTTAACGTCTGAAATTGAAGATATACTCGCACCGCTTATTTCTGAACTTTCTTCCTCCCACTTAAGATAGTGCCTTGCACGATTTGCAATTAAATGTGCGTAATACACAGGTGGTACGAGTGATATTGATAACGTGCACCTATAAATTTTTGGTTAGTATAATCTCAACTAAGTTTTGCAATAAAGAGAAAATTACAACCTCGCCGAAAGATAACAAAGTCTATATGTGAGTGTTTGTATTTCATCAGCCGAGAAATTATGTTCGTCATACAAAACATTATAATGGATAGGACGAGCTGTTCCTTGTAAACAGTAATGAGATTGTAAAACTAAAGAAAAAATATGATGATTGTTATAACTGAGCTAATTATAAAAAGACAAGTTATTATAAAATTATTCACAGAAATCGAATTCATGAGGAACAGCTATTGAGTTATCGACAACTGTGCCAGGGATACAGTTTCCAAGTCTGTCACCATCACGAGGATTCTCAGGCATGAATCTAATCATAAAGAATGAGACAGTTCATTTTCAATAAAATGATAAAATTTAAATTTTTTTTTTTTTTTTACCGTGTATGGTGTCTTTTCTGTACGATGATAAACGTAAGAGTAGGTTCCGACTCAGGTTTGTAGCAACGTGATATAACTGCTTTAATTGCTTTCACTTCAATATTTAGCACATGTTGAAATTGACCTTCTGACACTCCATCACGATAAAAGAGTATACGGTTTGGAAGAGATTTATTTCTTTCCCAAAAGGCACGAAACAAATCGTTTACCATATCTTCAAGACTTTCTATGGTTTCATTGCGGGGTACTTTATTAACGCTATAACGTCCAGAATATACAATGGCGTCTATATCCATGGATGCACAAACAGCGGCTACACTGGGTTTACGTTCCCCTCTGCCAGGATGGAACACGTCTGCTCCAAATATCATTGTCTAATAACAAATCAATATTAATTTAGTATTAAAAAAAAGGACTTAAGATGTAAAAATGAAGAATATTCTTACCGGGACTTGAGAGACAAAATTTAGTTGTCCTCTGGACAATAAACTGTTTTTCCCTCCTAACTTCACATTTACTTTAAGGGATATATTTGCACAAACTTGATCAAGCCCTCTCTGTTTTGTGATAAGTTTTGACAAGAGAACTTGTGTGGGTACGCCTAAAATAGTATCACCTACGCGTTTTATCTCACCATATAGAGGACCGGTCTGTTCCATTATACAGAAAACTAGCTGCGGAGGCAATGCTTTATTGATTTGAGCATCCAAGCAAGCTTGATATAAAGCCTATAAAACAAATAATCATAATAATAATAAATAAATAAATAAAAATATATATATACCTGATCAGCATATGAAAAAGTTTATATAAATCTAAAGATTTTACTTGCTGAACGTTTCCTATGGGATTAGTAAACGATATCTTCGGTCTGTTTGATACGTTCTATGATCCGCAAGTAAGTATAATAGCACATAGTATATTTTTTCGAATTGATTAATCCTACTGTGAAATAGTCGTACCAGACCCTTTTGACTAGCAGTTTCTCGAAATTGTCGCATAAACTGGTCTATACTTTGTTCTGGCACTCTTGTACCAAAAACTAATACCGACCAATTTTCAAGACTTTTTCCCTGAAAACATCACATAGACAGATCAATTAAATATTAACAGAGAAGTAATAATTTAATTTATAATAATACCTGAACAACTATTTTATTTACAAGGTTCCACCGGCCATCTTTAGGGACATGTGTTTGATTTACACTTTTAGAATTAAACTCGACTGTTGGCGGAGTAAGAACGCGGCCTTAATTGCATAATATTTGTTTAAATATTTGTTTAAAAAAAGTAAAACATAAGTATATATGTGTATCGCAAGTAAATAACGTTATTAATATTACCATCAATCGTCATATTTTCTCCATCAACGTCCATGCCAATAGAGTTTATATGCGGATCTCTGTTGTGTTTAAAGATTTCCTTAACTGCTTTTGAGATACGATTGAACCTTTCTGCGGGTTTAATACAAGTATGCTTAATCATATCTGCATGGGCAAGATCAGCTAATTGGCCATCAAATCGTTGGCCTAATGTTTTTCATAAAACTATGAATATATGATTTTTTCCAAAAAGAAGAATCTTTTTGATATAAAGATAGAATGCCAATATTTTTACCAGGTAAAATATCGCACACTTCGAGTGGTAAATATACATCATTTTTTACCAGAAGGCATGGTAAATTTTCAAAACTTAACCGACGATTATACGTCCTAAAGAAATACTCGGCGACAGAAACATTCGCTTCATTTATTTTGAAATATAATCGATCAGCCGGTTCAGTTGATAATTTCCGAACCATGTAAACAGGCCTACGTTGACCACGATGAATGGTACGTATTTTTAGACGTCTTACGAACTATTAATTTAATAAAGATATTATTTAAATTTTAGTAATATGAATGTTTAATAATACTGTAATAGACAATAACAAACTTTTGACAATATCGTCCAATCACGTGATTGGAGCCCTTGTCGGAATTCGTCTGTATTACGTTTATTAAGTAACCTTGCAGCCACATCCAAGAAAGGACCCCCTAAATAAAATACGCTTGCGCAAATATCTACATTTATTGCCAAGGTATCTGTGACGAAAAATTATAAAAAATTACTTAGAATCTTGGGCGTGATATCATACTTATAAGGTTAACAACGTTAATATTTACTCCATACGGGACGTAATGACTGATAAAATCCTCGTCTTAATTCAAGTGCACCAGGAAGAATTATTGGATTTAATTCAAGATCAGAATGAGCGATTTGCTTTGGATTTGGGAATATGCTTTTTCCAATGGCAGGGTAATTCCGGCGAACAGTAAAATTTATAAACGCGTTCAGCGCCATGATACATTTAATAACTTCACCGGCGGAGGCATTTCTTCCCGAAACATAGTTTTGGAGTTCATCGAATGAAAGTTTTTGAACGAAGCGAATAACAACTTTATAAGTTCCATTACGAACTCTAATACTATCACTTTGCGATATGTGTATCTAGTCACGAAAGGAGCAAATTTAGCAGTAATAATTTTTCGAATGCAAAAATATGTAAGATCTCAAAATTTTATTCGAAATCTTCCGTTTACCTCAAAATGGTTTCCTCCTTTCTCATTCTCGAGATTTAAAGGAGATACCGAATAAATTGAGGTGTTACCGTCAAAAACGGCGTTAAACCCATTTTGGAGAGCTAGTTTATCGTAAACATACGCGATTGTGTCTTTATTTGCTTTAGGGGTAATATCGAAACTATAATGGTTTATGGAAACATCCGGAAACTACAATGTTCTCGAGTATGATTCACGTCACGTATTTGTATCAAACACGCCTTAATGAACAAAAAAAAAATATAATCACCCTTATTATCCTATAGTAATTGCATTTATGCCGGATAGTTATCCCGAGCGTGCCAACACCTGGCCTCTTAGCTATATTAAGCTCAGTATCTTTTGTTTGTTCAACTTCCACTGTTAACACGTTCGTAGCAGAAGGAAATTATTAATCAAGTTCAAGAACTCTTTTTTTTTTTCTTGAGTCATGAAATAATAAACATTAGACATTACTTTTCTTTTTCAAACAATGGATAAGAATAATATTTACTGGTCACATTTTATTTATATATGATTAGAAATCAAAAGTACGTACCCACGTGGTGGAAATTTATGCAACATATTTTAATAAAAACGTAGTTCAATCATTGTTCCGACATAAAATATATTTTATAGATAAATTTGATCTCTAAGCCCCCTTCATCAATCTAGCCATTAAAAATTTTAAGCCACTATCTGGGGCATGTTTGCGTACGTACGTGCATACGTACAACGTACGTATTTACCCGATACGTCAATTGTCACATTAGTTAGTAAACTAAATTCGCACAGTTCATCGATACAACAGGTTCTTGACTAGTCGAAGTATTTATTTACAAATAATACTCCTAATTCAAATATCTATTTCGTAATGCTATGCAACGAGTCGTGATACCGTTAAATTTAACAGTATAATATGGATAATGAGCATACCAATTTGGAATGATTTTTCAGATTCTCAAAGCGAAAGAAATTTTCCCTACATGTGGCCTTTATCAAACTAAATCGAAGAACAAACGCAATATTTTGCCTATTTAAATCACCTTTTTGCTCTAACAAAATGGTTCTTCTCTCGTAAATTTTTAACGTTAATTAATATCAGGAACACAATCGCGTGTTATAGAGGGTGTAGGTTAGTTAGCAACAATTGATCGAAGAAAGAGTTTGGGATCTCTAACATATTACAGTAATTCAGTATTCTGAGAATCTAGGTCGATCATGACTTCTATTATCAGTAATGTAGTAATGTGTGAATAAACTCCAGGAAAAACCGTATCTAAAAATAGAACATATTACATAATTCATAATTTATAAACCAAAACGATTACAATTAAACTCTGTATATTTATTTTTTTCCATCTGTAGCATATTACATGGGGCTTTGCAGTAGAAAGGATATATAATTTTGAGATAATCAGAAAAAAATTTTTTTACGTATTATGCAAAATTATGAAAATGTAGTCTGCCTCGGGCCCTTTCTACTGCAAAAGATCCGTCCATATGTTATTTATATATGTAATATACAAAGCTCGTTTAATCTTTAATATGCCGTTGGAGTTATTTTTGATACGTAATAAAATTAGGAATATGACTAATTTTAACCCCGGGTGATTTTCAATAATTTTAACCCCGGGTGATTTACGTTAATTTTAACCCGGGTGATTTTAAGTAATTTAAATAATTTAAACTACCGATGATTAATAATTTTAACTTGGATATATAAATAAACTTTTCAATTAGATTTTACTTTTTTGTAAAATTTGTTTAATAAATTTTCGCTCAAGGTAATACAATGGAGCCTATTAATGAAACAATTTTACCCTTTCAATATTATCCTTTATACCCATTGTTTGAAGAAGGTTTGATAGACGAAACTATTCTATACGGCTCAGAGGACAATAATATCGGTTATACCTCTTTTGATTTTAGTAATATGCTGTTCTTTTCTATTTGCAACTATTTACCTTGTTATGTCTTTTGGTTCTTCTTTTGTGCCATAATAGAAGGCAGGCACCCTTCGTTCAGGGAAGGTTGGATAAATGAAACTCATTTATACAGTTCTGAATCCAATAACGTTATATGTTAGTATATTTAAAAATCATTATAATTACACTTATTTTATTCGTATTGTTTATTGTTATATTTACCTTTATCTCTATTAAAATGAACATCCTTTGTCCACAAATATCTTGACAGATAAAGCTTATCCACTTGGTCTTAAAAACACCAACACCGATGCTCAACCATTTTTTGATTCAGAAAATGAGAATGTTATAGATAGTCATGAAGAAAGTGTGAATATTGACCATGATGATATAGATAATAATACAGAAGATGAGTTAGATGTGTTAAAATTATTCAAGGATAAGCCATTTGATACGTGGGAAATTGCAGAATCTTACCTTGATCAGTATGGAAAACAAGAAGGATTTTTCTTACGCAAACGCTGTCGTGTTGCTGATCCTAAAGATAATAGCATAACACGTTGTCGCACTTATGAATGTTCACATGGATGTACACATGAAGCTGATAAGACTGTTTTAGCAGAAAATAGAAGAGATAGAGAATCAGAAATGATTGATTGCCCTTGGCATATTAATTTATCCTTTCCTAAAACGGGCAATAGTGTTCAAATAAATTCTATCATTGGTAAACATAACCATTTAATGAATCCACTTATTGCAGAAACTGCACCAAGATTTCGTCGCTTAACAGATGAGATGTATAAAAAAATCAAGTTCTGGACAGTTGAAGAGAGATTGGGTGCAACAACGCAGTATAATCTACTTGCTACATCATTTCCTGAAAAAAAAATTAACAAAAAGGATCTGAGTAATGCCATACAACATTATAAAAAACAGCTAAAACCTCAAAAGAATGACGCCTGTCAAACATTAGCTGATTTGTATCAGAAAAAAGAAAATGATCCATCATGGGTAGTAAGGCCAAGAATTGACCCTGATGAAAGAAGGTTAACGGCATTATTTTGGATGTCTCCCTCTCAAATACGCACTTATGAAAGGTTTCATGATGTTATAGTTATTGACACAACATCAAAAACAAACCAGTTCAATATGGTTCTATTTATGGTTACAGTCGTTGATAATGATTTTAGAAATTTAATAGTGGCAGCGGCACTTTTGGAGGATGAAACTGAAGCAACATTTGCCTGGATTTTAAATTAATTAAAAATAGCTTGTAATATTACCCCAAAAGTTATATACTCAGATTTAGATCCTGCATTGATAGCTGCTATACGTAATAACTATCCAGAAACTTGTCTTTTCCATTGCATATTTCATATCAATCTTAATTTGAAAAAAAATCTTAGAAAAAAGTTACATGATCAGTTTGAATTATTTCAGCGCAAATTTTTAGCAATGCAAAATACCTTATATCACAGACAATTTGAAGTTAGATGGGCCAAACTTATTGAGGAATTTCTTGCTTGTGAACAATATTTAACATGTACATTATATTCTTGTAAAGAGAGTTGGGCAAGCTATGTAATTAACAGATATTTTACTGGAGGAATCCAAAGCACACAAAGAGCAGAAACTTTCAACAGAATTATAAAAGAGAAGCTTAGTCGAAATTTATGGTTGGCTGATGTCGTTGAACAAATCCAACTAACTTTTAATAATCAGTCAAAAAGAGTGTTAGTTAATGAACATAAAAATGAAATACCAACCAGAGGCTTGTCTACAATAATGGAAAAATATTTTCTAGAAATAATCAAGCTATTACAGGAATATCTTACACCGCAAATCTTCCAGAAGCAATGTGACCAGATATCACAATTACTTTGTTATGATGTTTTTTTTGTTGATGATTGGTTTGTATTATTAGAGGTATGTAAGAACGATCTAATATTACCAACCTAAAAATAAGACTTTCATTGCTGTTAGAATAAATTAGAAGATCAGTTATAACAAAAAAAAACTTTTTTTGTAGAGTACAATATAAGTTCATTTTGATTGTTTCATTAAAAAATCGAAATTAGTTATGTATATCTTTTTTTTTTTTTTTAAATAATAGATGATTCTTATCAGTCGGATACAGGCAGAGAAGATGACCACGATCAACCCCAGACCTTGTTTTCTTCACTAATTAGTCATGTATCGCATGATAATATTAAAGAAGTATGAAAGGTTGTTAGATATAAAGCGCTATAGTCAATACCTCAATATATAATTGTACTTGATGATGGGTCTCATTTATGTACTTGTCTTTGTCTTATCAACCGGGGCATTGTCTGTAGACACTTTTTTAAAGTTATGTCTTATTCTCAAAATATATGCTTTTATATTACACTTATTTTACAGCGATGGTATAATGATAAAAAGGCTAGTATTGAACAACAAATTCATCAGTTAATTCCAGTATATCAACTTGTTGAAAATAAGTTAAACCAACTTCTACTTCAGCCACTATTGTTTAACTATTTGAAAAATATTAGAGAAACAGTTTATGTTAAATATAAGCAAAGTCCTAAACAGAAGTATGGTTTTGGAATGAGCTATGCTAAAAAAGCCCTTGACTATGCAATTCGAGCAGATACTGTTGACGAATTTGTTAATTACCTGGAAAAGTTTATTGAAAGAACAAAAGCTGAAATAGATAAAGAGAATATCGAAAATATAATCATTGGTGATCCAATACGTGTAAAGCACAAAGAGCGCCAACCTAAGCGTTATAGATCAGAAGATGAAGATTTACCAAGAAAAAAGAAACGAAATATTCAAGAAACAAGTAATGTTGCTGAAAGTTCTACAGATTCTAGTAATTCAAAAGGTGTGAGATATTGCCAAAAATGCAGACAATTAGGTCATTATGCACTGTGCTGTCCGAATTAGTGCAAATAATTGCAAATAATGCTAATTACGCTACATATAGATATGTTACATATGTGTATACATATATAGAAATATAAAATACGTGAAATGGTTTGTAAGATTACTAGTTCGCATTTAGCTATTTATGTAACTTCTATATTATTGTCATAGCGATACGATTATATGAGATTGATGCATATAAGCACACAATGAAACAATGACCGGCATTACTACTTACTTCAATACTAACTTTAATTTTAGTCCAGGCTATTGCTATTTTTATAAGTTGTGCCTATCCAAAGTTTATAAATTGCCATATCAGAGTTTAGTACAGTATAGACATAATATAAAGGTTATACTATACTAGTTCTGTATTATTAGTATAGTATGGTAAAAATCGATACCATGAACTTCTATTAAGCTAATTAGATTACTTTACCGATAGCTTATTTAGCAGACATTAAGTGTTAATTTATTAGATGTGTGATACTGCTAAATAAGCTATTAGTAAAGTACTTTTTTAATTTTTAAATTGTTTTGGTTTGATTATATTATACGTGTTATATTAAAATTCTATAAATTAATATATTTTATAATTTATTGTTATTATTTGATATTATTGGTTAATATAAAATCACATGATGAGGTAATTTCACCCAGGGGGCAAGTTAGCAAAATCCTTAAAATTTTTACACTAAAAATTTATTGTAAAATAATCTTATAATTATTAAAAAATTTATTAATATCGTTAAAATTATCTTAACTTTATTGAAAAAAATAGCTAGTTTCTGTAAAGTATGTAACAACAAGATAGACACATATGTATGCATAGTAGGAGATTTTAATGCCATATGTGACACCAGATTAGATACAAACAATACAAAATGTAAGAATCAGAGGCTAGATAAAACCTTGTTAGAATGGTTTAAAGGTAGAGATTTAATAGACACATATAGATACTTAAATTCTCACCAAAAAGAATACACCTGGCAAAATAGTGAAGTGGCTTCAAGGATAGACTATATTTGGATAGGAGAAGAAATGAATGAACTTCTTAATGAAGCCACAATCAAAAACATTAACATAATTACTGGCAGTGATCATAAATTAATAGGTGTGGAAATAGAAATGAGTAAAATACTCAAATATGGAGAACTCAGTAGAAGAAATAAGAAAAAGCTAACAAGAAGGGTTTTCTTATACCACAAAATATTAGTAGAAGAATAGGATCTGTATAGTAAATGTGTCGAAAACATACTGAAAAAAAGAAAAAGTTTTGGAGAAGTACAGACATCATACACCAAAACAAAAAACATTAATATAGAATGGGATATCATAAGTAGTGCGATAATGAATGCGGCATTAGAATTTATTCCTTAAATTAAGGTAAAGAAAACTGAAGTCCAAGAAAAAATATTAGTCTCTAAATCAGAAATTATAGTGTAATCAAATTTCTGTATCATCTACAAAAAAGAAATCAAGATATGCTAGATGTAAAAATTAATCCTGAGAAGAGAGAAAAACTAAATAAAAGGATCGAAGAAATAAATCAAACATATCAGACACAGATTACACAAATGCCAAAATGGTGGAATCAGGTTCAGATAGTAGAACTAAAGAACTAGGGAAAAATTTTAAGAAAAAAGGTGGAAGAAGAAGAACAGAGGAAAAAAGAAAAAGAAATCTGTGAAAAGGTAAAAGCAAGATTTGGCATAATGAAGAGAAACAAAAAAAAGATATTACAAAGTCTTTTGAGCAGACCACACAACAAAGTCACGATAAATAGGGTTTTGGTGGGTGAAAATTTCAGATCTCAGAATCAAGAATTAACCAACAAAGAAGAGGAAGTGAAGAAGCAAATAGTTGCACACTTTCAAGACCAATTTAGAAAAAGAAACCAAAACTTCAAAGAAATAAGTAAAGAGTGAAAAGAGGTGTATAAGCCAAAAGAGAGTATTGATTATACAATATATAAAGATATAATGAAATCTATCACAGTAGAAGAGTAGGCAAAAGTACTAAGTAAAACTAGAAATAACACAGCTCCGGGGCTCTCAAGCATTGGCTACATTCTGTTCAAGAAATTAATACCAAAAGTAGTAGAAAGGATAATAATATTAATGAATACAATTCTTAAACAGAGTAAAATCCCAGACAAGTGGAAGCTAGGTCAGATTTACTTAATACTAAAAAATAGTTTTTGGGAGTATAGTTTGAGCCACACTAGACCGATTGTATTATTAGAAACATGTAGAAAAATATTGACATGGGTTCTGCAAATAAGATTAGATAAAGTACTAAGTATAAACAACATACTCAAGGGTGCAAACTTTGCAGGATTGTCTGGGAAAAGTATGTTCACTCCTATTTACGTAATGAACAATATAATAGAAGAAACATTAGAAAAAAAAAGAGAGCTTTGGATCATTTATCAAGATATAAAAAAAGTATTTGATTCAGTTAGTATGGTATCACTTAAAAAAGCACTAGAAAAAGTGAAGTTACTAGCAAACTTAATAGAAATAATTATGGAATTATACGAGAATAAAAAGCTTAGTATCATAACAGAGTTTGGTAATACAGAATTTATTGAAGCTGGTGACAGAATAGATCAGAGAGAGGTTCTATCTTCTCTGATATAGAGAATCTTTTATGACCCCTTACTGTGCAGAATACAAGAAACAGAATTAGGGTATCAAATACAAAGCTCTAATTTATACAAAGACATAAATAACGCTAAAGCAAACATAAGAGTAGAAGTGTTAGCATATGCGGATGATACAACCTGGCTAACAAGTAATCAAGAAGATATGCAAAAAATGGTTAATATCGCTCAGGAATTCTATAAATTAAACGATATTAAAATAAATCCAAACAAAACTGAACTCGTAATTGTAAAGCCAGGAAAGAAAAAGAATATGAAAGACCTTTCAATGTTTGTAGGCAACACAAATACAAGAATTATAGTGAAGAACCCCAAAGAAGCTACACGATTTCTTGGAGTTTGGATGTCAGTTAATAAACAAAAACAGTCAGACATATTTAA